CCCAAGGTCGCTCGGGGGCAGAGCGCCGAGGCCAGTGGCAGGTGAGCGTGTCTCCAGCTGCGCATCCACTCCGGAGCCTCCCCGACTCTGGATGCCTGGCTGCAAGCGCCTGTCTTTGCAGCCTGTGGTCTCGAGGGCGGCAGCCAGCCCTCCCTCACCCTGGACTTCCGTGGAGAAAGCCAGGAGGCAGGGAGATGCCTCCCCATGCCTGGCTCCGGGGCCTGGCCATCTGGGGCCACCCACGCATTCCCATCTGACGTCCGGTATCTCCTGTGAGGCTGGCTGTGGGCAGGGCTGGCTCTGGAGACCTTGGCCGGGCTCCCCAGGGGAATGCAGACACCCAGACAGAGTCACCGGCCAAGCCAGGTGGCTGCAGAAAGACCCAGCTCCAGGCGTGGCCACTTCAGCAGATGTCTGCCCTACTGTCCTCAAGACAGGCCCAGGAGAGAGGACTGGCCATCCTCCTCTGGGCTCCACCTCTTCCAGACCCATCAGGATCCAGGCAGAATCGCAGGTCAGTGGTTCCCAGACGTTTAGATTCTAGGGCCAGCAAAATATATCCTACCCCAAAACCGGGGATAGGTAGAGGGCGCCAATTTTATTCTATAAAATAAAGGTATTGGCCGGACTCGGTGGCTCAGCCTGTAATCCCAGCACTTTGGGAGGCCGAGATGAGTGGATTGCCTGAGCCTGTGGGTTTGAGATCCACGTGGGCAACTTGGAAAGACCTCGTTTCTACAATAAATCAAAACTTAGCTGGGTGTGGCAGCACACACCTGTAGTTCTGGCTACTTGGAAGGCTGAGGCGGAAGGATCGCCAGAGCCCAGCAGGTCAACGATGGGGTGGCCGTGGCCATGCCCCTGCACTCCAGCCTGGGTGATGGAGTGAGACCCCAACTCAAGTAAATAAAAAATTTTAAAAAGGTATTTTTAAAAACACAATTACCGCTCGGCGTGGTGGCATGCTCTGTAATCCCAGCTACTTGGGAGGCTGAGGCAGGAGGATCCCTTGAGCCCAGGCCGAGGTGCCACGAGTCATGATTTTGCCGCTGCATCTCAGCCAGGGCAGCAGAGTGGGGCCCTGTCGCTAACAACAACAACAACAAAAGAAGTTCCCAGACCCACAGCTCTCTATTGTGAACATCACTTCATCCACGTGCAGACATTCTAAGCGCTCAAATCTAGGAAGCGTCTAATTTCAGAACAGCAGGTCTCCAGGCTTCCGCACCGAACACGTGCAGCTTGCTGAAAACTCTCCGCACCCGTCTTCCTCGGGCTGTCTCCCCAGCCAACGCTCGGCCAGGCAACTCCACGCCGAGGAACCCCCGTGCTACGACTCGCTTCACGCGCAGACCCGCAGCCGTTAACCGGCCAGGCCCCAGCCTCACGCTGCCCCGGCCTCTCCGGGCTCCGCTCTGCCAGGCAAGGCTCCCAGAGGCCGCGCGCGTGCCTTTCATCCGCGTGCGAGCCGGCCGTCCCGTGACCGTGCCCAAACAGGCCTGCCGGCATCCACGCAGACCGGCTCACCCGGCCAGAAGCAACCCGATCTCCCCACTGACCGCTTCCACGTCAGGAGGCCGCACACCCACCTCTGAAGCAAGCACAGCTGACTGCACGCCAGCATGTCACCAGAAGCACCAGGCCAGGCCATGACCGTCTCCAGGCATTCCCAGCGAGTGCCGGGCTTCATGTCCGTGACCGGCACATTCAGGAGAAGGCCCCACCGTGCCCGCCAAGTTCCCGCCATAGGCCCGCCTTCCTCTGGCAAAGGGATTGCGCGTAACCTCTTCTCCATGCTTCTGAGCGACCCCAGAGTCCTCGCAGTCTCGTGCCCTCCTGGCCTCCAAGTGGAGTCTTGCAGCCCCGGCGTGGGCACAGCCGCGGCAGTGCAGATGGCACCATGGACCGTACGCTCACACGGCTCCCAACATGGGACATCCTCATGTCACATGTGAGTGGCACCTGGTCTGCTCACACTCGTGTGGACCTCTTTTTTTTTTTTTTTTTTT